GGCAGGGGGTCGGACTTGATAATCTGCTAAGGTCCCTTCCGACCCAAACATCTATGAATCTATGAACTAGGTACAAAAATGCTGTTCAAAAGTGTACTTACAGAGTACCTGTGCTGAAACTTGCAGCATTTTGCAAAAAAAGGTAAAATGCAGCAATTCTGGTTGAATTAGGGGAAAAAGTTATGGGAGGTAGAAAGTACGATGGCCATCTGACACCCACCCACAGCTACTATTTTCCCTGCTGCAGCATGGTGGGGGGGAAGAATGAATTCAAGACAAACCTTCAATAATTCGATTTTACATCTGGAAAATTAAAACAAATTTATAAATGTTCAATATATGGAACTGAATTATTGGGGGATCATCTTAAAGTCAGGGTTGTCTTAGATTTGAGTTAATGTAGTATTAGGCTTAACACTTACTGCAATCTGTATGCCTTCTGCATGCTTTGCAATAAGCAACCTGTAATTTTAATGCATTCGCTGGATATAAAGCATGGATGGCTGATAAGCCAAAACTACAATGCATCTTCTCTATGCTAAGATTTTATTGTAGGTTAGTGAACACATGTTAAAAATACTCTTTTCCCCTAGCTTGGATATAGCTTCTAATACTAGTTCTTTTATGAATGCTTTGCTAATTATGGTACAACTAACTGGTGATGACATTTGGTTTATCATCATCAGAATTCAGGATCAATAGCCCAATGATCCAAACAGGGCAAGATTCAAGGAAAACAACAACAACAATTTGACCTCTGGAAGAGAAGATATCCAGAGAGGAAAATACTGACAGCTACTTGTTGCATAAAATAGTTCAGTCAGACCACAAGTTTAATTTAATTTGCAAGGGGTTCATTATTTTTTTAGTGAAGGATACATATTCTTGTCTTACTTCTTCACAATTGCATTAATTATGTCTGGACTTTAAAAACAGACATGCTCAAAGAAAGCCAACCAGAGAACCACTGAGATTGAAACAATTAGTATCCAATGTTGATGTATGGTTTCTCCTTACATACCATCCCGTGTGGTCTTTCACAATTTCATGCCTTGCCTGCATCAATAATTTGCCTCGGTACTAACAAGCAGTGGCCATACAACTTTCGGCACACGCCAGGAAAAGTGTCACTGTCATCAGCGTAACTGATGGAACTGTTTAAAACTAAGAGACAATCTACTGCCACAAACTCCAGCTCTACTTGTCTGACTACAGTTGGGAGTGTCACTGATAGTTACACGGGAGGCTGGTCACAATTTGCTAAAATTAGGGAAAATTCTCCAATGTAAATGCAGCTTGAGTGAACTTATTAGAGGACAGCAGATGATCTAATAAATGTCTTAGTCTCCTTGTCTTTATGAATCAAGTAATAAAATCATCTGCAGCCTGTCATCTAAAACAAGGAGCATTTCCTACCATTTAGTGTCTGTCCCATTACCAGTGTACATACTATCTGCATGTGCTTTTCCATTTGCTGCAGAAGTTAGTAATGCTGGAGGATGATTTTAGGTTATTTTTAGTCCAAACGCAGTTAAAATACTCCAGGATGAAAACTCAGGATATGCCTTAGAAGGCACTTCACTTTAATCCGACATCCCTGGATGTTAAATTCTAAGAAACAGTTCAACAAAAATGGGTTTTTCTATGGCTTGGGCAGGGACTGCCCTTCAGGGGACAGCAGCAGGCTCCAAGCACATGGAAGATCACAGACTACTGTTTCAATCCACATACTTCAGAGTAGTGGTTCTCAATCTTTCTTGGCTCAAGGCACCCCTTGAAAAAAACCAGCGCTTGGCTTTCATTTGTTTTTTAACTACAGAATAGAGCGATTCTTCTGTTGCGAAGAACCCAGAAGGGCCACAAGAGGTCAGAATAGTTTTGGCACTATGGATTCCTATTTGAAATCTCTAGGTTTATTTTATGAACCACATGTAAGTGTGCAACCATGTCACCCTTAAAAGAATCTTGTGGTACCCCAGTGTGCTAAGACACCTTGGTTGAGAACCACTACCTTAGGACATGGGTGTCTTAACTCATCCATCCACACAAGCCAGACGAGGGTTCATGGCCTTATCAGGCCATGCCAGAGCCAGTGTACAACGCTGGTCCAGCAAGCAAGGTGTTGCAAGCAGTACATTCTCTGTGCTGATCCCCTGTTCACATGCAGTGTGTGTTGGTGGCACTCTGGGGCTTGTGCTGCAGGTGGGTGGCGTGCAGGCTGGATCTGGTTCCGTGGACACTGCATGTGGTATAAGAAATGGCACAGGGTGTGTGCTGCATGTGGCATCCTGCCTGGCTGGCCATGCTCACCAGCTCTGGGGCTGGTCCAGATTCAGCCCCAGACCATCTATGTACACAAAGCCAGTCTGGTGGGGCACCACATGCAGCTCACCTCCCTGTGCTAGGAACAACACCTGTGGCACCAGGTACAGCCTGTGCACCAGCGTGCAGGGTCAGCCCATGACCTGTGGGCTGGATCTGGCTTATGGGCATTATGTGCGACACTACTGCCTTAGAGCTTCTAATTGAGGCTCAGGTCCTCACTGTGCTAGGTGCTGTTCATGAATCCTTAATAATCCTGCCCCAGAGAGCTCAGCAGACATTATGACAAAGATACAAGGGGCATTTAGACACAAGATATACTGGGAAGAGAAGAGAAGGTTAGGAAGAAACAAACTAAGCAAACAAGTTACTGTTCATAAAGCTGAGACCTCCTGTACTCAAACCCTTCCTGAAGCTTTGATGGGTCCCACACATGGCAAGATTAATCTGATATTAAAGTTGAAGATGGAGTTTTATAGGCCTACTTCTAAATGGCCCCATCATGGTTACTATATAAATATGATGAAAAATAAAAAGACTTAAGCTACATTTACCAAATATAATGCATGGAAATAATCTGCAAGAATGTGGAGGTTCCAAGGTAGTTAAGTCTTTTCTTGCCTTGCTTCTCAAACCTTACCTGTGTTAGCAAAAGAATCCAAACTATTGGCTTTCTTTTCATTATTCTGCCTTTAAAAAGGCCCTGCTTGTCCGAATGATCTCTTCCTTTCACCCATATACCTCTATCTGTCAGTAAAGTTTCTGGAAGGAAAGCCTTTCCTTTTCAAAAGTTCTTAATCAATAGCATTAGTTATTTCTCTAACCTATGAACCTCTGCAATCAATTTAATCACAGGTGGTGAACCGTACAAATTACAGCAGCTCTAATTTAAATGCCACAATAGAACTTTCTCTCACCAACTTCTATAAAGTCTTTCACAAGGGGAAATCAAGATAATCATCACCTTAGCAATTTTTTTCTTTTGCAGTTGCTGAGTAACTGAGGTCCATTTGTCCTGCCCTGAAATCTGCAATGACTGGGGCTATAATGGGAAAATGTACCACATTAGAAAGTGCCAAGACATGTTTCAACAAGCAGTATTTCCCCTTCGATATGGGCCTTGACAATGTGTTAGCTGGTGGTACAACCAGGACAGGCAAACCTATGTCTAGTACTATGCCAGCTGACACATTTTCTAATGTGATGCATTCTCCCAGCATACACAGGCTCAGTGTGAAGGTGTTTCTTTTCGACCAAGCAATACAACAGCAGCTTACCCGGAAATCTGTTTATTATATTCTATTTGTAGTAAGTTAATAACTGAAGGCGTAGGAACATATAATCCCTACAGTTGTAGATGTGAGTATTTAGAATCCAACTGTGACTTCAAGGAAGGGTGCTCAGAAGTGCATTCCTGAAAAGGGAAGGAATGGAAGAGGCAGAGAGAGCAAATAATAGTTTGTGCAGAACACTGATCTTGGCTATAACTGTGCGTGGAAACATTTGCTTATTAGTTCTGTTGGTCTTTCCGGCCATTTATAGATGTTATGTTTTTCTAGGTTTAATCTGGTCTACAGCTGTCATTATATACATGTGGATGTCTGTAAACTGAATTAAAAATGGCTCCAATCCGAACAAACTAATCCGCATTGAATGAGGATTGAACAATGCAAACCAGGGCAATATGAATTAAGCAACTTAAACTGTATTAATTAGCATATATACAAGTTCTTAGGAACTTGGCAGATAAGCATTGCAAATATCAATCCCCATGAGGGAAACTCAATTAGGTTTTTGCAATACAACAGAAGCTATCAGGCACAAAGTAACATCTTTACAAAAAGTCAAATGTGCCAACAACACCCAACTATGACTAAGTATCAACTGTAGGTCAATTGTACCCATTAGGACTCCTGGAAGGGCACTTTAGATAACTGTCAGTAGGATTGCAACAATGTAGCAGTGGTTTTACAGGCTTATTATCACCTCTTAATTACCTCCAAACGTAAGACCACACAGAGGCTGAGAACCGGGTCTGTTAAGGAGCTGTCAAGTGTATAGAATATGTATAGCCACGCTCTTGCCTTGGTGGGTAATCATTGACTATTAACCATTAATTCAAATTGAAATTTGATTAGAACTGTGATGCAAATCAGTTGACACAGTTTAGAAAACGCTGGGCATGTCTACAAATGGCCTCCAACGTACATGAGCACAATACGGAGAGAAGATAATGTAGATGACCTGTAGCAGCGCTTCAAATAGAACTTGAAGCATTTTAATACTTCTATTTAGCTGCTTAAAACTTTAGTGTTATCAGTGGAGCCTACAAAGGATTACTCAAATAATTCCTTGAACTCATTGATTATTGCATGACTCATAAATGATGTGTGCTCCCGGCGGCTGTGGGGGCACGGCGGTGGAAGCACGGCGGCAGAGCTTCTGCGGACACTACTGGCAGTGTGTCAGTGGTGCCTTTTTGTAGGGGGTGCACATGCACCCCCTACACGTTGCCCCTGGCATGACTTCTGGACTCTCTACTTCAGTAAAAATAGATGAGTGTAAGTTATAAGTACAGAGCTTTTTCTTTTCCCAAAGAGATTTGTAATTTAAAACACAGAACAAGAATATCTCATTCAAATGTCTCACGAAGTTCAAATGTCTATACTTCCATCCCTTTGTGGCAATGCTCCAAAGCACACACGAAATGGAGAGATGGGACAGAGAGTCAGACTGTTATTCAAATGGTGCATTCCAAGGCATTTCAATCCAACTGGCTTTTCATTTAGGAAATGCACTGTTTAAAAAAATAACACTCAAAGGATGAACCATTGAAACAATAAAAGATCAGACTCCTACATGCTTTATTTTGGAGCAGTTCCAAATGGGAGTGGGTGTGGAGGAAAACAGACAAGAACAACAATGGAATTTGGACACGAGTCTGGTGAGTGGAAACAGCACTTCCTACTTCTTATCTTTTCTAGGGAATATGGAGCTTTAAATAAACCTCCTCTAGGATGCTGCCGAAAACCAACGTTGTTTTGACTGAAAATGAATCCTGTTTGGCCACATTTCTTCCAATTTCTCTGCTCTGCTACCGGATAAGCTTCTTTTGGGTATAAAATTACCTCATCAGTTGAACCTTATGAAAATGTCCAGTTTCCAACAGAGATCACTCCTTAAGTAATATAACTGCCTCCTTATAGTTAAGATTATAACCAAACGCAGGCTGCATAAATGCTGATTTCTATGGGAAGAAATTTCTTCCAGCAGAAAAACAGCTTGGAAGGTGGACTGTACAGGCATTCCTCTAGTTGCATGGCTGGAGAGCTTCATAGACAAGCTCTCCAGCCAGGGGGCATCACAGGGCTGCTCTTAGGGGATCCCATCAGTTGAAAGTCTGCTCTCTCCCCTGCCTGGGAAGTGGGCAGGCTGTCAACTGGCAGCTGCCCCAGACAGCTGGGGAGGAGTCCTACCCCCAGAGAATGTCCCCCGCTCATCCCATCAAACTGCTGACTAGCAATTCGGTCCCAAAGAATAGCCCTGCTCTGGGCTGACGTGGAGGAAGATAAAGAGCGGAGGTGGAGGTGGGGAATAATAGGCCACAGGAAGGCTCCTTCCCCAAGATGCTCCTGGCAGTGTGGGAGGGAGGGGCATTCTGGGATAGTGATAAGGCTCCTGAGCTTTGTCACTGAAGCATAGCAGCCTATCTCGCCCTGCTCAGTTCCAGATCAGCAGGGCAGCACAGGGAAGCATAGTTAAAACTGTGGTTAATATAGTCATGCTCAAAACAAAAATATCTGGCCTCCCATTTACGCCCCACTGCTATTTCTGCCCTTTGTTGACTGGCGCACACACACACACAAGCTTCCCCCCCCCCGCCTCCCCCCCTCCGAGTTTCCTGGTTTGTATGAAAAGTTACTCTACTCAATAAGTGCTGCTTCACAAGTGTTCAATGTGGTGCTAAATGATATGGATGTCTATCTAGCTAGCTGTTTTGACCTTGTCTATCTGACAGAACAAAACCCTCTGAAGGCTCCACTAATGCAAACTTTCCATGTCACCAGAAGAGATCCTGGTTTTCTCTGATAAAAAAATTCCCAATTTTTGGATTAAAAAAAAGTAACCCAAAATGCACATTTTCCTGTGATCAAAATGAAACACCACTACATAGAGATATCATAGAATCATAGAAGTAGGGTTGGAAGGGACCTTGTAGATCTTCAAGTCCGACCCACCGCCTGGGCGGAAGGAAAGACTGGACTCAGGTGAGTCCAGCCAGGTAGTCATCAAGCCTCTTCTTA